TTAAGTATTGTGGAGCAAAAATTTCAAATTTTGCATCACTCTAGTGCTCATTGAAAGATAGCCTATATTACATGATATCAGCTATAGTATGAACGTACCATTATACCCCGGACAGACTATGGCTTATATCATGTAATATAGACTGTCTTGCAATGAGCACTCATACATAGGATTTCCAGTGAAAACTAGATGTATGAGTGTTCATTGCAAGACAGCTTATATTACATGATATAAGCCATAGTCTGTCCAGGGTATTAGACCAAAGCTGATATTACGTATTATAAGCTACACAGATAAAAAATCTGAATTTTAATTGTGATGTAAACATTCATCCACGTAGACTTGTATTTCATTTCACGCGACCGAGCAACTTGCAAACAATGTTGTTTACAAAGATGGGCTTTTGTATATAATATTTACTACATTGCATGAAATGTGTCAGAACTTTACATGATATATAATGTAAACGTATATGATATGTGACGCTCCATTTATGTATGATGCAGAAATTTACACTACTTTTTCGAACTGTGTGTCTTGCAATGAGAACTCATACGTAAAATTTTCTCTGAAAAATTATGTCTGATTTCAAGAATGCTTATACATATTACGTAATTTCAGCTAAAGTCTAAACGTACTATAATACTACATTCAAACTTAAGACGATATTACGTTGTATAGACTATAACTAATATTACATAAATTATGATATCAAATGTCATATATAGGATTTGCTGAAAAACATTGCCGTATAAATGCTCATTGCAAGACAGGCAATGTTACGTTATATCAGTTGTAGCTTGAATATAGACTGTTTTACAACGTAAAATGGGTGGGAGGATATTGCATGAAAGAACTGTACGTGCTGGGAAAAGGTTTCTTCGATTCTACTAGTATCATACCGCTGTGAAGGCTCAAATTATTTCTACTGAACATGCGCCATTGGTTTTGATCCAATTTCGCGACTAACGGAGAAAATACTGCATTTTGGTGATTGGTGCAAACAATTTGAAAGCTTGATATGTGATGAGGTTCTCTTTTCTTCTACTACCAACAAGATCACATTCTAGACCAATTTCTGTATCCTTGTGTTACCGTCCTCAAGTATACAAAGACTTGATGAACGGTTTAGATAGATCTTAACGGCAATTGTAAGATAGCTACATACGAAAATCGCTTTGAAAATAAACATATGCAAGGGACTGATCGAAAAAAATATCAGCAGTATTGGTCGCAGCACGATAAGGAAAGAAAAATGAAATAGGTTACAAACAAAATTTAACATTTTAATGATAACAAAAAAATACAGTTTTATAGTTAAAAATCTAAACCAACCACGGAATTGACCAGAATTAATTTGTATTTGATGGTGAAAAGAGAAGCAATGAATCCTGAGTTTTGTTAGATTATCAAATCATATTATTGATATAATGTTAAAAAAATTAATGCGAATTTCAAGACCAAACACTTTTCGATTAGCAACGTTTAATGACTAATAATAATGTTTGAAAATGTGCAATAAAACAAAATGTCATATACGTTATTGTAATTATTTACGTTGATAAATATATTTGAATTTAAAAGTATCTGTTTTTCATTATTATCTTTCGACTATTTTATTGCAATTGATATTCAGTATTCCTTTTCTTAAGCTACATGCATAAAAACAAAATGAACATTTTTATTAATAAAAGCGATTTTCGTACACAATTGCATTACTCACACAAATGAAAATGAGAACCACATGGTGCATAAGGGAAAACTGAAAAGTGAAATAAAACAAAAACAAGCGACTTTTTTTTTGTTAGACATTGAATTATTTTGTTTTATTATATTCAAAGCGTTAGGGCAAATGATACAAATAAAAAAAGAAGTATTCAAATCAGTAAAAACACAATTGTTATATATGTACAGTATAGATTCATTAGTATGTGATTTTTTTTTATAAATTATTTATTTATCGCATACATATTTTGTTAGTTATTGTCGTCATGATCAGGTCGTGTTTTGTCACGATTTTTATTTCGTCTCTTTTTTCACTTTGTGTTAGTAATGCTTAAAGCTATCTTGCCTCTTGTTATTTACAAACAAAGTTCATTCTCGATGATTTTGTACATTATTTGGAATGATTTATTGTATCCGTATGATATGAAATATATTTTATGAACAATTAATTTGTGTTTATCAATAATTTATAATTTATCGGTTAACTTTGTCATAACATTGCATTTGTACTATACACACTGTGTTTCTTTATTTGATTGTGCAAATCGTGCAGATGATAAATATTGAGTGCAACGATTGGTGATGGATTGGTACCTACCTAAGCAACGATGGTGATGGGTTTTGCTGCGCTTAATCATTATTTTATATGCTTTGTACTTCGTTTCAATAAGTATACAATGTGAAATCTCTTGATGGTTTAGCAGTCGCTGTTAGCAAAAATTACACTTCTCTTTTATTTTACGTAAATTCTACCTTTCGTCATAAAGTTACGCGCTATGTTTCGCTTGATACTTTGAATTTTTGTTTATTGAGACTTTGAAATTTGATCTTTTTATCTAAAATTGATAAAAGTGTAAGTTATTATTGTCCGTAAACCTACTGCATGCTAGACTCACAATTTTATATGATGGTTTTACCATCATTGCACGAAGGTTTGGATGCAGTAAAATCTCGCTGATTATAAAAACATTGTCCAATTAATAAAACAAGACAATTGACATCGTCTACGTATGGCTAAGGATCGAGTAGAGTGAAGACGACTTCTGCAGACAGAAGAGGACTCCTTCTTGATTCCAAATTCGTCCTATTTACGAGTTTCAATTACGTCCAAACGCATTGAAACGCCATTGGATTTTCTTCGTCATACGGATGATGGTAGAAAAAGCGAGTTCGCTAGGAGCGCTTCTTTTGTTTTGAGAACAATGAGTGTAAATATGCACACAATACGCTCTAACAGGCTTTGTGTTGTAGCTTGTGAACTAACGAATCGGTACAAACGTATTACTGATTTGTGCACGGTGAAATCATTGATTACACTAATGTTTTCTGCTCGATAGAACGGAAATGGACGATTTCGACGAAGTAGCGCAAATCTTTTCAGTACCAGCAAGTAGATTACGCTATTGGTAATTGTTTTTGAACATTCTTCGGCAACACATGCTTTGCTATGGCTGTAAAGAGCTCATACAGTGAAAACATGCCTAAATTCATGTAGAGGACACACTGAGATTGCAATATCAAAAAATTATTTGATTTCTGTCTAAATGAATTGTTTACATAAATTTTTCTCACATTTTCCATAAGACGAATCGATCAGATGAAACCCTCTCCGATTTCCATGTAACATTGCATATTTGTTCGCTCTGGATAATCTGTCAAATTTGTGCTGGAATTCGGTCATTTTGATTCGCACCTCATTTGTCAATGTCTTAATTTGTTGCTTGAAAAAGCATTTTTATGCGTAAAATTAGAGTAATCGTTATTGATGTTATTGAATATTGAATATCCCGTGTTTTTTTTCCAGGATATGTATCTTGAAATTTCCTAATATTTCCAGGTTTTATAGGTTTTTCTATGGTGTTCATGGCATTAGACATTCAGTATATGGAAACACCCTTTCTAACTTGTGGGCTCTACCATACGTCAGAAAGGGTTACAGAATTGCCCAGTAGCTTTCTCAAAAAAACGTTTAAATAAATAATGAAGCAGTTTCATTCAAAACTATCTCGGTTATCTCGCAGTGTATTATTTAATCAAAACATGTCTAGCCTTGAACCATTGTATTAACGCTTCATATTCTACTGAATTTTTTCCTTAACATTAATTCCTATTAATTTGTTTTTGCATCGTGCCTTTATCAACAAATTGGATATTGTAAAAGATATCACCAGCATTTCAAAATTTTAAATCTCAGAACTGAAAAAGCTGCGAAATAAGAAAGATATGATCAATTTAAAAATTCGATTTTCATGAAAAATTCAGCCTATTTCTTATTGAGTCATTCTACGAACATTTTCACCTGGTAAAATGGCGCGAAAGCTGTGAAAAGAAGACTGATACTGCATACATTTTTGCACTTATTTGTCTTTCTACTACTCAATGAAAGTCAAAAAATAAATCTTTTTAAACTACTTATTTGTACGTAGTATGTTTAAAAATATCTCACTACCAATGTTTCGGCATGTATTGTGGAGCTATTAATTTATGAACAATGTAATTTTTTCAATCTATATTTTACTTTTTTCACCAAATATCAGTTGAATTATCATTGCTTGTTGCACTGAAGCTCAAAACTCTGGCCCGGTGTTGCCCACTGTCCAAGGGGACAGTCAGCTTACTGGGCGTTAAAGGTATTGCGAAACTTCTTCTACAACTGCTGGGAGTTGTTGGCATCAAATCACGCAACACAACATCCAACTCATCGTCATTATCCTCAACCGTATTATTATCTAACTCGGTCAAGCTGCCCTCCGTTAGGATGCTAGTTTTGGTGCCATCCTTCTTCTGTAGCCCGAATACCTCATCGGATAGATTGAGCAATCTTTCAAATGAACGAGCAATAGATTTGCTATCCTCGTCCAAATCGACATCACTGATTTCTTCGTATCCATCGTCCTTGTCGCTATTTTGATCATGCGAGTGAAAATGTTTGCTATCCTTTTTCATCAGTAAGGACGAGAACAATTCATCTCGTTTATTTACATCCATCTCAGTGAAAACATACGAGCTCGTAGCAGCGATATCGATTTTGGGTGAGTTTGCATTCCTGTAGCTATCCCTACGTTTGACGGCAGAGTTGCTATTTAGGTCAATGTCCTTATTACGTCTGATGAGATGAGTTTGGTGCGTTTTACGAGAGGGAGAATTTTGCGTCTTAAATGAAAGAGAGAGCGTCTGCGGGGATGGCCGCGCGGAGGGAAAAATGATGTTCCTAACTTTAGGCGAAGTACCTACTATTCTAGAGACGTTAATCTTTTGCGATTTTGGATGCTTACCTGGTTGCTGGTGCTGTATGGTTGTTGGTTCCATATAGTGAATTGATTGCGGTTTCGCAGACGGTGATTTTGCTTCCTGTACATTAACGTAAGCACCCTTCAGAACACCGGAGGACATGATGTGTGACGCTGCGGATGATTTATCTACTTCCTGTGCGGTACTGTTGTTTGGATGGATAGTGGCTATGGGAGCCATACGCAAGGATGCCACACTATTGCTGTTATTATTACTGTTACTGTTGGTGTTGACGATTGCTTTTGTTTTCAATGCAGATTGCGATATCACTGGTTTCACTACTATTGGTTTCCTGTTCGCTAGACCACCACTTAGCAATGGAGATGCAACAACAACGTTTTTGGCATTTTCTGCAGATGCTGCTGGTGATGCTGCCTGAGTTGTAGTATTTGTAGTAGGAATGTTTGTCGTCGGTGCTGGTATTGTATTTACGTCTTTCACAAATGGACCCGGCGCGAAGGTCGTGTGCGCACCTTTTCTCCTCTTCAGACTGTCCGAACTGTAGATAACCTTGCCGTGCGCATCCAGTTTCACGCGGGCACCCCTCTTCGAAGCATGTTCGGCACTCTCTCCGGCAGTGACCGCTTCCCCTTCCGTAACAGAAGAGTTTGCTTTTCCGCTTCCTCGAGGAGGGGTGTTTTTATTTTCGGCAGAGAGAACATTGCTCTCGCAGCGTATATTGCACGGTAATTCATTCAAAGATACGTATTCGGTTTCCTCGTTGAGATTTCCCGAGAGAACCGTGGCCAAATTGCGTTTTACCACATCGTTTGAATAGTAAACACCACTGATGTGGTGAGTTTTCTTGGCAATTTTCACGTCGGCAATACGAACGTATTCTCCAGTTACGTCGTAAACAGGTTCGGCGCTGTTGTTTACATTATCCGACATTGAGGAATCCTTGCTGGGTGATTTTTTCAGCACCCCCTTCAACCTGCCAAACATGCTGTTTAACGGCTGCAAAGCATTTTTTCTTACACTGCTAGAGTCCTTTTTAGATTCTACCGATTCGTTTTGCACCGTTTCGTTTGGTTTCTCCTTCTTTCGTTTCAAGGAACCGTTTTCATCGTCGCTGTTTGTGGGCGTAATGATGCACATCGACGGTATTCTACTAGTGTTGATTGTGGTCTTTTCTCGAATTCTTTCAATTCGGTCAACGCACTCGAGATCCGATGATTCGGAATACTCGAATTCAGAACAACTTCTCACTCGTTGTGTTGGGCTTGAATTAGCATTCGATTCAATCGGAGACGAGCTCGTATTATTACCACTATCGGGTGACTCAATTCTGTTTTTCTTGCTTTCCTCTTCCTTGTGAATCAAGGCAGCTACTTCTTTCTGCAGTAGATGGCCATTACGCTTAATAGTGCCGGTTCTCTCCAGCGTACTTCCGACGGTGCTACTCGAATAGCTACGTTCTAGTGTTCCATTACTCGCCGAGCTGTTACTGCGATTGAGCTTCGTGAGTGAGCTCTTCCGTTCCGGCACAGTCGGGCCGATCAAGGAATTACGATGACCATCGGCCAGTACTGTACATATCGTTCCCGCAGAACTGGTTGTCGTTGATGTGGAACCTCGTCCAAATAGCTCATATTCATTTTCCGGAGAAATTACCGTTTGATTACCAGAGCTCTCGAACGAAGTCGTACTCGACAAGGCAGTTGTCGAGTGCATCGGAGTTACAGGTTCCTCTTCTTTCAGAGTTTTCAAGCCCGAATCAACATGGAAGGATGTATAGTAGCCTTCGGTGTCACACGAGTAGACCGAACTGGTTTCACCACCCTCGTCGTGATAGTCGTACATTTGTAAATCCGGTGTAGCTGTACCTTCACTTGTAACACTGCTAGAAGCAGAAGTATTGAGAAATCTACGCCGGCTTATGATGGAACTAGGAGGCCCGCTGGAGATTGTGTGATGATTGTGGTTCAGTGATGTACTAGAGGCACTTGATTTCGGATGAGTAGTGGTAGTTATCTCACTACCAATCGATGTTCTCCCTGATTCGGAGCTAGCACTCCAATTTCCACTGGATGAATGGGGTTCATCCTTGTTACCAAGCGCGGTACGGCGCTGTCTTCGGATGGAAGAGGACTCACGCAGCTTTACAGGGTTAATTGAAGCGGGCATGCTAGTGGTGGCGCTGGTGCCGGAAGCGACAGTTATACTTCTCTCTGACGAAGAGTAGGAAGGCTTTCGTTCGTGCGAAAGTTTTGTATCTTTGTCAGAGATTTTGCGTTTGCTGTTTCTGGTCGTATCAGAGATATTGAAGTCATCAATATCTTGTACTTTGTCTTTTGAGTCGCGGTTAATCATCCGTAGTCGGTTGCGGCCCCACTGTTTGAGGGAATTAAAGTGTGATAATTTGGTAGTGTGTTTGGATGTGTTGTCTGCAGAGGATGTCGTTGGAGAATCTTTCTTGAGTATGTCGCTTGATTTGCTACGAGGCACCAGGTTAGTAGTGACAGTAGAGGAGGTAGTGACTTCGTCCCTGTTGAAGAGAGAGATTAAAAGGGTGGCATTGATTAGCAAATGACTCCAGTATTGCGATAGTTTTTTTTAGATGGAAGGAAGTATCTAACATTGTGCATAGTGAGCGTTTGGAACTGGAAATGCATGCTTATTCAATACTAATTGAATATGCTCTAATGATGCTTGTTACAGTTTACTATTAATGAAAATATGTACGCATTTTTTTTGATAGGGTCTTTTCTAGATACTCGTGCTCAAATATTAAGACTTTGTGGATTTAGCTTTTACCAAAACAGATGTTTATTAAGAATGATATTTTATAATTATTGCATTGCCTATTTATTCAGGTAATGTTGCAAGTAAAAAGAAATACACAGCTAAAAAATCTGAATTTTAAATGTTCACGTAAACTTGTATTTAATTTCAAGCCAAGGAGCAACTTGTAGGCAATGCTTTTCGTTAGATGTCTCAGGACTGTACACAATTTATAATGAAAATTTTAAAAAATGTAAACTTATACGATATGTGACGCTCCATTTATGTGCATCATATTGAGCAGAAATTTACACTATTATTTTGAATTGTGTATTTATTCTTTGGATATTGCATCTCAAGACGGACTTCCATAGTCATTAATTGAGAGCGTGCTAAACATGTACCTTTTTTTGTATTCGTTCATTGTGTAAAAAATACAATTATACTTTTGCCTAGAGATGTTGTTAAATATTGCAACCAGCTGCTTTCGTGCCTTTACTGAATACAGAGGCTTATATGGGTTTGGAAAGTAATGTACACGGTTTTGCTTTCAATAAGCTTATTATGATTTAAATGCTCAAAGCAAAACTTGCCAATCTAATTTTTCATATTTCCAGCATTTCATATTTTAAAGCCAATCGGAATGTTTCAGTTTCACAGCCCTCAATTATTGAATTATCGGTTTTGTAAAGCTAACGCGATAAACGAACTAGATTAAAAAAAAATCCTCAATTTATTCTCGGAGTTTTCTTTGCAATAATCATTGCATGATCTGTATAATTTTCCCTCCACAGTCATAAGGATCATCTTTTAATTTGTGTATTTTTGATGAATCTATCTGACAAATTAAAAATTAATCAATTATCAAAACTAAGAATGGATTTACATTCCCACTTTTCAATCTATTTCTGGACTGAACTCTTGGCTAAACTTAACTTTAAAGCACCTGGATGGTTTACAGGAAGAATGAACTTTTTCAACGTTTTCTCATCCCACAAAGTACGGACAAAATAACCTGCTAGAAGATTGTTGTCAGTTGTGTACAGGGTTGTTAATGACCTTAGCGTCCGTTAAAGTCTTCAATGCGAATTCCCATTGTAGATGAGTGAAGAATTTTAAGTAAATGGTGTTTTTTTTAAATATATTTTTAGTCAATATTTTGATGTTAGTTAAATTAGGGTAGACCCTAAACGCTAAGCAAAGGTTGGATTTATTACAACGTCTGCATAAGTTTCATACAACAAATGTAATGAAAGTTTTTTCAGAATGCATATTTTTGCATAAAACCTTGCACGAGAGGATTTTCTAGACGCAATAAATTTGAGAAAACAAACTTTGGTGGAAAATAAGTTAACATAAGAATTGCAAAATAATTTTAAAAACCTTCCGGCGTTCACTTTTAATAATCTGTTCATGTCGCGAAACATTTCAAATTCTGCATGCTTTTCATGCAAGTCTGAAATAAAATTTTACGTTGTACAAATAAAAAAGAAAAAGATTTAAAATAATTTTTATATTGAAGGAATGTACTTTTGTCTACTGCACTTGAAATACTACTGGAGCAAATTTGGTTTAAATCATTTAATTTCTTTTTGGAAAAGGCTTTTTTTTTTTTACAAAATTCGTCTGTAAATTTTCAAATAAAAGAGATAGCAATTTTATTATTTCAAAAACCTGTGCACCGTTAAATGTTCTATTAGTACCTAGAACAAATAATTTGCGAGAAATCAAAAATTTAATCTTCATAAACAATTTTCAATGTGTCCACTTACCTAACTTATAGAATAAAACGTGAACCTTTCGAGATTGAAAATAATTTCATCAGCATAGTTGCTTCGAATGTGTTAATCTACTGCTTTTTTAGAACATTGTGCTGATCTATCCCATAATTAGGGTTGCCCTAATTGTTAGTGAATATTTTTTTTGTTCTTCGCGATAGACTGACTGTACAAAAATGTAGTAGGGGACATTCGTACACAAGCACCCCCTAGGTAGAACGCACCAGCTGACTTTCATTTGTGTTTTTCATGGCCTTTTCGTAGCTTTTTTGATGACTTATCAAGCAGCGCTCGAAATCCTGGAATTGGATTAAAAATGCCAAGAAAAACTCAAAATAAAATGAATAGTGCGTTCTACCTCGGGGATGCATTATGTTCCATTGTCCCCTACGATATGTTTGAAATAACTCTCATTTTTAACTTTGAGAAATTTGGATGGTGCACAGCTTTGCTGAAGTAACAAAATTGCTATCTTATGATTTGGAAATTTATGTACGATTTTGATTAAAATATGACTTTTCCAAAAGTGATTTGAATAATTTAACCAAAAATACTCCCGAAATGTTTTTACCATAGATAGATAAAGGTATAATCTGCAAAATGCAAATTGTAACATAAAAGTCCACTGGCACAATTTTTAGAAATACAGTTTAAACATTGTAAACATTAAAAAGAGCGTATTTTTCTAAAAAAAATCGTTTACAACGCTTCATAAAAAAAAATAGGTAACCACTTTGTGGCTTCAGCAAATATATTTTCTTCCAAAAATTGTTTCTGGCGCCAGGAATGCAGCTCCCACAACTGGATTCTACCTATCGACCCATCAACTCATGGACCGGAGACCAACGTATTTACTTCCCTTCCTTCCTTCCATGATCAGAGATTTTATGTCTCAGGAAATATCGGTGGCGCCGACTGGGATTGAACCCAGGCCTTTTGGGGTGAGAGGCAATCACGCTTACCACTATACCACCGGCGCCGCTGTTATGTTATATTTGATTACAACAAATAATTAGAGTTAAATCAATGTGCGAAATTTTATTTTTAACTGATCATTTTGGGGACACCCTAACTTGCATGTTGAAAACAAGTATACAACACCATAAGAGATATATATGGACTACTTTGTAAACTATTGCACCAATAGAATTCCCCCTTATTTCACTCACATCAAAAGTTTGTCTAAAAATCATGTTAAAACTTTTCCCGAAGAAGACACCATTCACCGAAAACTAACGGTAAAGACATAATCATTTGTATCTTTCTAAAGACGGCTTTGAGATCATTGTGCCATTTATTAATGGGTTGTATTTGTAGGATCCAGCCCAAGTAGCACACATCTTCTTTAAAATTGCAGCAACTTGATTGTGGCTAAATTGAGTCATATAGCAGTTACCTCAGCAGGTTTGTAACAAGTGCACCACTAGGAAGGCGTAGTCGCATTCGAGAACAAGTTATCCTTTTTTCAACTCTATCAGATGTTGTTTCAAATATCGGAATAGTTTCCAGATGCACTGGAACTTAGGTTCAAAATATTGTTAAATTTGGAAATATGATATTCCCCGAATAAAAAATATCATAGTAATACAATACAACTTATTGCTAAAATCAATTGCTCACACCATAAACCCTAATAATTTAATTTTGGTGTATGATGTTGAATTTTATTGTAAAAACAATAAAATTCATCGATATATTCGGTATTGTACCACCCTTGTATCGTAAATAAGGATTTTATAATAAATTCTATGAATCATTTGGCATGTTTACGATAAAAACCACATTTTTTTCGAGTAATTTTATGGCTAACTTCATTTATTGTTCATTATGGTAAAATCATTATTATTAAATCTATCATTAGCATGTATAGTTAAAATAATGTTGTTGCTGTCTCTCATAAGATAAACTTAGCAAATGATGACTTGTGAACCTTATCTCGAACAATATAATTTATAATATATTTATATTTTGTATGGTTAATTTACAGTATTTGTTATCCGGGTCTTGGTGCTAATGAAAAATATATGATAATTTCGGTGCTCTGCGACTGACATATACGAGCGTAAGTTTTGACGTGCAATTCAGCACAATCAAGTGTACTATTCGTCGAGTAACGAACTTTTAATTTTACATAACATGTTTGATTACGTCTCATCCGATATGTCAAAAATGCATGATTGAATAATGTTAGATGTAATGCTACAAAAACTAAGGCCAATATTGATGGCATCGTTCCGCTTCGCATTTTCAGGGGCACAAATCTTGACATCCAGGAGTCGTGCAGTTCTGAAAATTAAACTCGGTACTTGTTTTTTACAGCAAACACTCATTGTGAGCTTCGTACATGAAGTAGATTGCCAAATGAGTCAAATAAATTGCAAAACGGTAATACAAATTGTATAAAAAAGGGATTCCGTCTCAATCGAACTCAATCGAACTCAATCGAGTAATTAAAGTGAGTATAAAAAAAATCAAAAGACATGTTAATTTTCAAACCTATCCTTGCACGATCAAACCCACGGCAGTTTTTCAGATTTTTGATGAAAATAAACTAAATTTAAAATTTAAGGATGTCCGCAACTGGTGGTGCAGATTGTCTAACATAAATTTTTTAAATACGGTCAAAGAAATCCTCTCTTCAATATTACGTGAAATTATTCTTAGATTTTATCCATGCCCTTTTCACGTAACATTTAGTTATGCGGTTCTTACGTAGAAGCATCGACTTTGGAAAGCTTCAACGTCATTAGTTACTGTAGATTTTATGTAATTTTTTAGTTTTTTTGGTATTTTTTATATTGAGGGAATTTCATTTATATTATTTCGTGCTAGTACCGTAATGTACCGAATTCCAGATTATTATGCTATTTTGCGCATAGTAGGCAGTGATAACCAACTTTTAAAAGAGTCTGGACTAATTGTCTGGATTTCGAGTCTTTACGGTATCAATAGATAACATTTTCAATCAGATTCACAACAGCATAGGAAGAATATATAAAAAGTTTACTTCGAAATTTACTGTGTTCTTTTAGCTTTCCCAGGATCAATAGTCTAAATAATAACATGAGCTGCCTTTTCTCCAACTAGACCACATAAAACAAAAAAATACAGATCTTTAACAAAAATCCCCTCTCTACCCTAAAGGGAAAAAGGCCGTAAATTCCATCCTCGGTTAGTTGCAAATGCCTTCAGTTGTGTTTTACTCACTATAATGAAGGTTTTTGAATTTAACTGAATTTATCAGTAAATGCAACATAGGCATTATTGAAGGCCTTTTTCCTTAACAAGACCAAATCTAAAGTAAATCTCTCATTGATTGATCATCTTTTTTCTGGACTTGATGGAATAATTTGAAAGAAAATAAAAATGAATTGATTTAGAAACATGGTAGATTCAAGAAATGACCCTTAGAATTTTTCGTTCTAACAAAAAGATGCGTAACAATTGTATGTAAAAAACGGAAACTCATCGCTTAAAAAACAAACGCGCAGTCACAGATCAAAGCATTCGAAATACTGGAGTTTTCAAGACAATAACGAATAAATTTACAGGATAATGAAAACATGACATAAATGCTCATCCACGATATAGGAACATTACGTTACCGAAACACATGCAACATCAATGGCGTTAAACATCCAACAAACAGGCATATTAGGTTTAAATGATATGAAACGCATACACATTTAGCATTTACCACACGCAAAAATCCTATCATCGTCTTGTCATGCATTTCTGACTTGGCGTTTCTGGCGGCAATGAAAAAAGTGAGGTAATGAAACCCACGAGCATGATCGTTATGAATTGTATGTAGGTATGTATGTGAGAATGATAACGGAAAGCAAGTAAAATTTTAGCATAGACGTATAGTTTCTGGTAAATTTTGAATATATTGTAACCAAGGTAACGATTCATCAAATCTGACTAGTTTTGCACACGAATTTCGTTTTATGCTCCAGGCAAATTTCGTTCTTTCATGTTTGTGGGCAATAATTATATAACCGCCAGTCGTTTGCGGTTTTTTTTTCTCCACCCGTATTCTATTCTGGATCATGCAGTTTTGACTTACCCATTGTTAACCACTTCCGCAATTTCCTTCTGGTCCGTTCCAGCGATCGTATTTCTTCGTTTCCCTCTCGATCGTCGCGGTCTAGACCGTCGTCGTATTGTGTCACCGTCGCTTCCATCTGGCTGACCGCCAGCACTGGCTTCAGCCTGTTCGGACGTTGACACGAAATGTAGTAACGATTTCCTGGTGGCACACATCCTATCGAAACCACGGCCGGAGGTGTCCACTTTGATGGTTTCGGCGGGAAATCTGCAAGAAGTAAAATGTGTTTTAGATTGTGGTTTTGATAGGCTGAGAAAGGGAAACGATTGAAAGAAAAAATGAATTTATATATGATAATATTATAAAAATATCACAATGTAGTTAACATGGCGTCGTTCACTGTTTTTAGATCAATAGCTGAAACATTTGTCATAACTGCAACTCCTATCCCAATAACCATAGTAAAAACCACAACATACTTGAGTGCAATCATCTGGCACTGTTCCTCCGGTGAAGGTAACCTATGGTCCAGTGGTGTGTCCTGTTCTCGAACCAATCTTGAACTGCTATCCACCATGATGATGTCATCGGTTTCGTCGAATGAAGTGCTCGTGCCAGCCTGATAGGACGGAGAAGCATTTTGGGAAGCATTCCCCAAAATCAGAGAACCATTGCCTGTCAATCGTACGGTACAATCCGGAGGAACTGTTATATCACCGATTGCTTCAAACGAGGTCCATTTTCTTAAGTCCTCAACCGCGGAAGGCTGCAAATAAAAAAGAAATGGAAAAATCTAATGAGTAACTATTAAATAAGCCGAGGCCGTGGGCTAAACGATTACAAGCAAAATTGATCTGTCCTTCAAACTCTCTGCATGAACGAACACGACTTTAACTCTATTTCATGGTATCGTAATCCATGAAGGAATCTCCCGAAGCATTTAGGTGACGATTAATGGTCGCAATCAATTTCAAGGCAAACGTATATAATTTTGCTCTAATCGTTTCTTTGCGACGGTGGTCATGGGAGTTGGAAATTATAAACCGCGCACGTCTGGCGCTTTAATTATCGCACCTTTTTTCATACTTTGCAACCACCGGTTGGATTTAACTCACGTATCCTCTCTAAATCATAACGCAACGAGTTGGTCGGGATCGGAAACATTATGTGGTGTGAAACCGGTAGCATACAATCGAATCAATTACGCTTGATAACATTGTGTTCGCAAATGTTCAAAGCAAATATGGTTTCATTGCCATCGATGCTTGGATGGAAATAATTATTCGGATAATAAACATAAGCTATAATTTAATTAAGTTATAATTTTGGACCTTTTGTTCTTTTCCTTTAAAAAATTGAATTGAAAAAGTCGGAAGACTTTTAAATAATATTATGTTATTAATAAAGTAATGAGCTAATTAATATTAATTAATGCAAATCAACTTAATTATTTCAACAATAATTTTAGACAAAAACAAATCACCTTGTGAAGGTTCCATACACAAATATTGCATTTGAAAAAGTTTCTCGTTATAAACATACGCTACAAGTAATCCCTAGAGTAACATTTATTTAATTTCAATCACTGAGCCATGTCCGAGAGTTTTTAGTTTTTTCATTCAAAAATAGATTACAATGAACATAGCTGAGCCTCAACTTGAGGATAAACTCAAAAAAACGTCAAATGAAGTAAGATGGGACAAAAGTTAGAGTGGAGCAAAAGTTCGTATTGAGGTTTTCGACGCCTGTGCAAAATAAAACTCATTGTTTTGGCACTTGTTTGAAAAGTCTTACAGAGCCAGATTTTCCCATTGGAGGTATTTCCGAATATTTATTGGCAAAAGTGTGTTTCAGGATGGTAATTAACATAACATTAATACCATTTGTACCATCTCTGGGAGAGTACAACAAAAAACTTCAATAGAAGCCATTCCATAGTAAAACGATTTCGCAGAAAATGGTAGTTTTGTGGTTCAAAAGTCGATTTTTTTTTTAAATTGGGATTTTGCATTGAAAAGCATTGATTGTAATTGTTTTTTATGGTATTCATGGTTTTTAATAACAATTATTTTTAATTACCTTTCATTTGATATTTTGATCTTTGCAATCGGCTCAGTGGTTCAAAAGTTATGATTTTTTTAAATAGTATTTTTATGCAAAAAATCGATTTTTTTGAAAAGGTAACCCTAATGACAAAATAAAAAAATATGGTCTAATATTTTGCAATAAGGAACAAAACTACCAATTTTTACGAAAATCTGAGACCCCTATATCGTTTTGTTATGGAATGGCTGTTTCACTAAACATTTTATTTCAGGGCTTTATTACGATTTTATTGAAGATGATTTTAGGGGTATCAAACTTTTGATATGCCCTCAGGAAGCTGGAATTGCCTATAGTGGGACAAAAGTTCGAGTGATCGGGGCAAAAGATCGAATCGTGTCCCAAACTAATGTAATGATTCACAAATGTCTAAAATACATTTATTTATAGAGATATACAGCTTATATACAGATACAGCTTACGACTTAAAGAATCTTAAATAAAGAAAACCAACCAACCACCATTTATTTATTCTATATAATTATAAATGGAGCAGAATGTGACAAAAATGTCGAACAAATTGCGAACTTATTGCATTTATTGTGGAAAAACACCATTTTTGAGTGAATTACGTTGTTCACCGAGTTCTAACAATATGTGGACACAAACATGTGGTTTATGTATGTCCTTCACACCATCACACCATCACACCATGGGGTGTTTAAAAATTTGCAGTGGCATTAAGTTGCGAACTTTTGCCCCATTGCTGAAACGGTTTTGGAGTTCGGTCTGAACACTCTTCAGATAAAATTATTCTAGCTACGGATGGACTGAAAATTCATTACTGTTATGTAAGTGAAAGTTGCGAAACCTAAATGAGTATGGAATTAGCTTGATTCCAAATGATTGTAGTTTTGGGAAATTTTAATTTTTTCAACTAAGCTTGAACTTCTACTGCACCTTATTTTACACATTCTCATGAGTATATTGCTGTTGATAATATAAAACCGATTGCTTTTAATGCTTAGAAATCTTTTTCCGTAGGATAAGTGTCACTTGTCATAAATTTTAAACATTTTTATATTCAGTTATGGGCTTCACCACTTGTTCCTACGGTGACTTCTCTCTATATTTTCCTAATGTCCCAAGGCGAACCAGCCAATGGCTGAAAGCCTTGTATATAAAGGAAAAAAAAAAAAAAAAAAAATATTTTCCTAATAATTTGTCAAGTTTTTGCACAAGATCTAAGTGTGTCATGCTGATATACGGATGTTATGGTTTCTGTGAAATATTGAAAGCAAAGTTATCAAAAATGCAAAGTTTTTGGAAATAGACACAATGGACACTTAAAAATTAACCAACATCGTAGATCATCAACTTTTAGTAAAATGTTTGGCTAAAATTCAAGGAATCAACAATATCTCCAAATGACAAAATGATAAGCGATCAACGAACCGAATGATAATGCTATGTGGAAAGCAATATAATGTAATCTTCTTCCTTTTTTGTCATGACAAGCAACCCGTTCGACACAGCTCACTCGGGGCGGTAGAAGGAAACGAACAAATTGTTGGCAAGCTGCTTCACGAAGTAAAGCCGAAGATGATACACGTGTGTTAATTGGAATTTTTTTGTTATGTCTTTTCTCGATTCAGATCAAGCTATGTCCTCATCCATGTATATTGCAACAAAGCAGGCAAGCAATATTTCATCTTTCTACCACTCCGAACGAGCTATGTTACAGAGCGAGTTTGTCATGGTAGTCGTAGCAACCATTTTGTCTGTATCGTTAGCTACTTTATGTGTTTGGATTCGCTGCTAACAGTATTTTCTGGACTATAAAATATGTTTCCTGCATAAGAAACAAAAAAAATGTTCCGATTCGTTTAATTTTACGGATCGCTAGTGCCCATAGTCACCTGCTTTGTTCAATTCTATTATCATGAAACTAATTGGAAATTAAAGCTTATGAACTTTCACTTTTCTTGGTGCAGACTAGAAATACTCAGAGGGAGAGATGGGCGGAGAGAATGTTTTGAACCAAATGAACTGTCAAAATCTGCGCCAATCGAACATTCCAATTAGATTTTTTCCGAGGATTTCTTATTCTTACTAGAATAAATTTGAGAGTATTGCAATCGAACAGAAATTCAATCACCTTTATGTTTTGTGTGCTTCTCAAATTCAACTAGTTTTTAGCTGGGTACTGCGGACTCACTCAATGTGCTTGTCACTTGGGAGCCAGTCAGAACTGTCAAACGGGAGCCAAACATTCAGAAGCAACAAACTCAGTTACTGTTCATACCTCTCGTCAAGCATTGCAATCTCATAAAAATGATTCACACTTTTTCATAACACATTCTTAATTGTGAGCTCAAAGACAAAAACCAAAAACAATATTCTAACTCTATTGATTTAGGGGAAAAGTTGGCCTCAGCAATACCTTAACCTATTATCGTCAGGGGGGTAAACAACGTCCTTGGGAGCTCAATTTTGGCATGTGGATACATTGCGTTTCAGAGTAACTATTGGCCAAATTTGAGTGCTCTAGGACTTTGTTTACCCCCCTGACGATAATAGGTTAAGGTATTGCCGAAGAAAACTTTCCCCCTATTGATCTTCGTTGGTTAATGAATGGCACCAAGAAATGTGCAAAATATTGCGATGCAATCAATTATTATTTTGCACGTAAATCGAATCAAAAATACAAGTCATTTGAAATGCTAGCTTCTAGCAAGGGTTACGAAAAAATCCCGGCTGCCGAATTGTATTTTGTTTTCTCCGCCTATCTCTCCCTCTGAGTATTTCTAGTGCAGACCGGATTGGACTAGATTGGAGCGGAGTGGTAGTCGGGAATTGGTTCTAAATAAATAAAGCTCATTTTCTTTCTGTATGAACCGGTTAACTCCAAAAATTCTTTTTAGTGGTACTAACGACTTTGAAAATACCAAGCTATAAATATAAATTAGTATATTTTAACGGTTATCTTATGGTCTCTTAAGGGTTAATAATTTGATAAGCCTATAGGAACGTTGTTATTTTGAGCACATCCACAGTTATGTCCCGAGGATTCATGACTTAAGTTGTAATAGTGGTAAGAAGAGTTGGATCTCACCATGAGTGGAATAAGGTTGTTTAAATTCAGGTCTTGCTTTTTGTGCAAAGATAACTGAAATCAATTTCAGTACTCCTACAATACATCAGTATAGTGTGAATAAAAAATGTACAAAATTTGTCGTTGAGAGAGCAAACCACGTACTAGAAAGGCGATAGCCGTCACGCATAAAAGTATAAATGGCCTAGTGAAATTACACTTTCCCCCACAAAATTCAAGCGTCCTCCGAACCACAGCAGGATATGAATGAAGCAACAGTGCGTAGTTGTTTTCGCATGAATGAAGTTCCAAATTGTCCAGCTATAAAACATTCGCTTATGGCGGTTATGGGCAAAATTGCTGGTGTGTCACATGGCCAAGACAATTTGTATGTGCCATTGTGCCTTTTGTCTTACCATACCGCCACATCAGTGCTTTAATGTAGAGGTAAGGTCATTTAAGAAAATAATAAAAGGGATGCCGTATCAACGAAAGCTGCCATACTCCCCACTCTTTACCATATTGTTGTTGCTGAGGTAGATGTTGTTTGGCCTAGCAGTGCGTTCGGTATGGGAAAATAAACCTCCCTGTGTGGAGGCAAATTAGTGTTGTTTGTGTAATTGCGTAAA